GGGGGGGGGGGGGGGGGTGTTGGGCTGGGGTGAATGCTGGGCCACGGCCGGCAGCCGGCGGGAATATGAACATCGCCAGGGGCTCTGTGGCCCACAGGAAGTGGAGGGGGAGGTAGCGATGGCGGAGATTGCTCGATCCGCATGGGCTACCCCCGGCGACCATCGCCGGATTCGGGAAAGACGCGCACGGAGGAGGTGCAGGAGGGGGGCGGGGCGGACGAAAGCTCCAGCGGCACACGCCCACAGGCGCCACACTCTCCGATATGCCTGCCGCACCAGGGCCAGCGGCCGCGCTAGTTCATGTCGACCGAGGCCTCGAAGAGAGACCGGGCGTTGGCGCGGCGCTGGGACCCGCCATCCTGAGGCAAGGCACGGGCCTGGTCCAGGTTGTAGCTGTTGAAGACGAAGTCATACCCGAAGAGGCCATCCTTCACCTCGTAGTCGGCATCGGTACCCTCGATGTGGAAGGCAGCGCCGTCATTGCCGGCGGCGCGGCCAGTGTCCTCGGAGGCGGGGCCGTTGATGTGCGGGCGCTTGGGCTTGCGGCGAGTGTCCTGAGCACCGGCGGTTGGCGGGGCCACCAGGAACTGGGCAGTCTGGCCGAGGATGCCATGCGGCCGGTGGGGAGTCCCGATGAGGCTGGCATGGAGGTTGACGTAGGCCTCCTCCAGGAGGTTGCGCTCAACCACCGCGCGGGCCACCAGCTGGTAGGCATCGCTGCGGACGGTCAGCCGCGGGCGGGCGTCCACCACCTCGTACACGACATCGCCCTCGGGCAGCTCGAGCGAAAGGCCGTCCGCCATGTGGGTGCCGTTGAGGAAGGCCCCGAAGGCCGGGTCGAAGCCGATGGCATGGGCACCAAGGAGAATGCCCACACGGCCCATGTAGGTGCCGGCCAGGCCGGTGAGCCGGGTGAACTGGGCGTTCACTTGCAGGTCGGTGTCGGTGAGGATGTTGTACGTGCGCCCGGGCAGGCCCTCCACATAGTAGTCCGCGCCGTTGAAGCCCTTGAAGTGGGGGTCCTGGGACCCGGTGCCCTCGCCGATGACCTTGCAGGTCTTGGCGTTGCGGCAGACATTCGGCTCGCTGGAGCAAGCGTACACCGCCCAGCCGTTGGCCAGGCACTTGGACACGCTGGTGGCCGAGTGGAACTGCCCCGGGCCCGGGGGGAACTTGATCTTCTGGCAGGTCTTGGCATCCTCGAAGCAGTAGAGCGCGGTGTCAGCGGGGCACTCGCACTCGCGATGCTGCGGGGGCTTCGGCCCGGAGGGCTTCGAGCCAACCGGGTGGATGTGCTTCAGCAGGAACTGCCCAGTGCGGTTCTTGGTCTTGGTCTTGGTCTTGGTCTTGGTCTTGGCACCGGCCGCGTGGATGGAGGTGTAGTCGTGGCGGGGCTGGCGGCCATTCTTGTGCTCGGGGTGGCCGTGGTGGTGCTCGGGGTGGCCGTGGTGGTGCTCGGGGTGGCCGTGATGGTGCTCGGGGTGGCCGTGGTGGCCGTGGTGGACATGGTGGTGGCCGTGGTGGTGGCCGTGGTGGTGGCCGTGGTGATGGCCGTGGTGGTGGCCGTGGTGGTGGCCATGGCCCGGCTTCTTATTCGGCGGAGAGGCAGTGCCCTTGGGGTCCCCAGCGATGGTGGCCTCCGCCTGGAGCAGGACCACGGCCAGCAGGGCCAGGATGGTGGCACGAAGAAGGTACGACATGGTCTACGGGAGGTCTAAGGCTGAAGTTCTAGGAGCTATGAGGCCTAATCTAAAGGACCTAAACTAGGAAGGGTGTGCGGCGAGGAGCGACCGACGATGCGACTGGGGATTTTCTCGGATTTGAGGAAAGGCAAAGAGGCGAGGGAAAGAGGAGCGCGAGGGGGCGGTTTTTCTCAGTTCAGACTGGCTGGGCTGAGGGGCGGGAGGCGGATTGCTTGTCTGGATCTCAAACCGTTGGAGGTGCGAGGCGGGGCCTCTTTTATAGCCCGGCGCGGGGGGTTCCGAGCTCCCGCCGTGTCCAATGCCCGGACGGAGGAGGGTACGGAGGGGGGGGGGGGGGGGGGGGGGGAAAGAAGGAGGAGGCGAGAGATCAGGACATATCCGCCCCCTATGGGGGTAGCGTGCTGTACGATCACCATTGGGCTGGACCCTGGTATGGCAGGCCGGCATCGTCAGGATATCCTGAATTCTCTAGGCAAAGTCCGGACTCCCCCCCTCCCCCCCCCCCCTCTCTCTCTCTCTCTCTCGGTCCCAATCTCCCGGCCTCCCCCTCTTCCCTGCGATCTCACAAAGGCATGCCCTTGCATATTGGCCTAGAGCCATGGATCGAGCCTTCCTGGGCACACCGCTGTGCTTCCGTGTCAGAGACCAATCCGCAGGAGACATCCAGGAGTCTCATCTCCTCAGGCCGTCCACTTGCTGCATTTCGCCTGCGGCCGTTCGGCAGGTGTGGCTGCAAAGGCAGAGATGTGTATGTGGAAGTGTATGCGCCTGTGCCCCTGTGCTCGCGTGTCTGTGCAGGGAGCCACTCTCTGTGTAGGATATATGTGTGCCTGCCATGTTCGCAGGACATACTCATTCTCCTGTTGCACCTGGAGCGGGGGGGGGGGGAGGGGGGAATCCCGGCGGTTCCCTCGCTCTCCCCCCCTCCTCTCGGGCCCAACGTCTGATGCCACAGGGCCAGGGGTGTGACGAGCGTCACAGCAGCCTGGGACTCATCGATAGCATGCAGTCGGCAGCTCCGGGTCGGTCCTCTGACTGTATTTGCCAGATAGTGATGGCTTTTCAGACGTGCAACGGGTTCACCGGATGATGGTGCCAGCCTGGTGCGCGCGAGCGCGCGTGTGTACGCGCAAGCGCGCGCGCGCGCGCACAAGCTCTCTGCGGCGCTTCCCCTCTGATGACCGCGGGGTGGGGGACACGCACAAAAGCACCGATGTCGGAAATTGTTCCCCACCCCAAGCAGAATGGGCAGTTCAAAAGGAGCTTTATTGGAATGGGTAGAGGGGATGGGGGGGGGGGGTGAGGGCAACTCCAGGGGGCACTTACCGCCTCCCCCCTCCAGGCAGTGGTGGTGAACAGCGATGCTCTTGACAGGGACGGAGGAAAGCAAAGAGGGACTGACGAAGCGGGCTCGATCATCCGTCTTGCCTCGCCCCCGCGGCACCCGGGCCAGCGTGGGCGCGTCTAGGGATTGTGGGTTCGGAGCGCCGCGGCGGTGCGCGTCCCCGAGTGCCAATGATGTACGGGACATTCGTGGGCACCTACTCAGTGATGTTTAATCAGAGATATGAGAACACCGTTTAGGCATAATGCACCGGGCACGTGGTTAGCTCGATCGCCGCCGTGACCGGGGTGATCGTGCCGTGCACCTTCTGCTCGGGAGGGGGGAGGGGGGGCCTTGTGCGTCGGGTTCCCCCTGTGCCTTTTGGTGCCCGGGAGAGGACGTGGCATTCTAAATTCAGGGGGAGGAGGAAAGGGAAGAGGCAATGCCCGGCGCGCCGGCCGCCGGTGCAGCCAACACAAAGGACACCCGCATGCTCTGCAGGTTGACCCCGCTGACGTACAGCTGGATAGTGTCACCAGGTTTGGGCAGAGACGCCGGACCGGTACTCGCATCGGCCGGGCCGCTGAGAACCGTCACTTCCAAGCCAAAGGGCTCCAGCTGGGCGGTGATCTCGGCCATCTGACGGGGGGGCCGGCGGAAGGCCGCCATATTGACCAGGTAGTCCGGGGCTTGGGGGCTGGCCGGAGTGGCTGTGACATTGTAGGTCGGAGAGGTGGCATAGCCGCCCGGGGCCAGAGCTGGGTTACGCGCCGGGTCCGCAAGCCAGAGCTGGTCCAAAGGAGGTGACACATCGGAGGCAGGCTGCACGGTCATCACTCGAGCGGAGATGGGCCTCTCGCGTGGCCAGCCATCTGGCATCATTCGAGATTGTGTGAGTGAATGATGCGTGCGCATGCATGCATGCATGCGTGTGTGTGTGTGTGTGTGTGTGTGTGTGTGCGCGCGCGCGCGCGCGTGTGTGTGTGTGTGTGTATACGTGTGTGTATACGTGTGTGTATACGTGTGTGTATACGTGTGTGTATACGTGTGTGGAGATGTAGGCGGCCGTGTGATACGAGAGGGAGCGTACCGAAAAACTTGGCGGTGTAGTATCGCTCAGAGGTGGTACTGGCAGTGCGAGCCGCACGTTGTTTCAGAGAGCCATGAGCCATAAGGGGCTGAAGCTCATCCTCCGAGAGGGGCGAGCGCCCGGCGAGATGGCTGAGAATCTGTCATTCCGCCAAAGAGGGGAGGTTCGTTGTTAGGCAGGGCCAAAGCACGGAGCGCATGCATCGGCGTCTCCCTCCCATGCTCTCCACCAGCGGCAGAGAGGCCAAAGAGAAGCCAGAGAGAGAGAGAGAGAGAGAGAGAAGAAAGAGAAAGGGAGAGAGAAAAGGGGCCATACCTGGTAGTGACACAGGGCATCCATATACCGCCGAAGGGGGGAGGTCACCTGGGCATAGGTCTTCAAACCGAGAAGCGAGTGGCGCATCGGGGTCAAGCCATAGGTGCCGGCGTCTTGGGCCTGGAAGAATAGCCTTCATGCGCACATGCAAGGGGAGACACATCGTCAGTACAGGGGAGAGGAGGATGCTTGTAGGGAAGCTCAGCCCGAGAAGAAGGAGGGCCACGGGGCCACGGAAAGGAGGAGGAGGAGGAGGAGGAGGAGGAGGAGGAGGAGGAGGAGCGGGAGAAGCTCTTGCACGTACTGGCGCTCGGAAAAAGTGAGGTCCAAGGGCCCGGCGGCAGAGGACCGAGCAACCTGCTCGCGCAAAGCCGCCGGCAGGAGCCCAGGCTGCGACCGTTGGCTCTGGAAGACAAAGGGAATCCCCTGGCCCCGGGCCCAGGTAGCGGCCACGAAGTTGCCGAGGATCATCGACTCACTGACCAGCTCGTCGGCCGGCGAGGTGGTTGTCCCATCGCGCGTCGGGATCAGCGCCTCCTGCCGGGCCAACACCCCGTTCACCCGAAGCTCGGCCTCCCCGCGGCGCAAAGACACCCGGCCCATGGAAACAGTCGGCGTGGCCTGCTGTCGGTGCGCGCGGAAGGTGCGCGTGGCTGCCAGCAGCCGGGATGCATCCTGGAGGAGGGCTACCCGCGTGGCGTCCGAGCCCAGGTCCTGAAGCAGGGTCTCCTCCTCGGGGAGCAGGGCCGGCTCGGGGCCCGAGTCCTGAACACCACTCTCACGGGCCAGCAGCGCATCCAGCGCATTGTAGGTCAGCCGCCGGCCCTGGGAGCGGCGCAGCACCGACACCGAGAGTCCGGTGTCCAGGATGGCCCCCTCCTGGTCGATGGTAGCTGCCATGGTCAGGGCAAGGGCACGATCCTCGGCGAGCCCGGGGATGGGCAGGACCGAGAGCAGGCGCGTAAGTTCCGGCGGCAGCATGGGCACCCGTGACTTGGAGAGGTAGATGGATGATCCCCGCGCGCGGAGATGCTGCTCCAGCGGCGAGTCGAAGGGAATAAAGAGGCTCGGACTGGCGATGTGTGCGAAAATCGTCGTGTGGCCACTGGCGGCATCGTATCTGCATGCCATGGTCGAGGGGGGGGGGGGGGGGGGGGGGGGACATTTGTCAGGCGCAAGCATCGGACTGTTTGTCGGGGCGCTGGCCAGCGCGCCGGCAAAAGGCAAGAGCCATGTTGCCTTGGACCGGGCACGCACTCGACAGAAATGGCATCATCATGGTCCACGGTCGTGATGTCGTCGACCACCATGAAAGTTTGGTGCGTGCGGTCCACGACAAAGGGCAGCCTACATGCCTCATCAATCATTTGGGGGAAATCTACATGGCAATCGTGTCCATCGCCACAGTAGCGGCAGCACCCGGCGGTTAGAGGCATGGTGGGACCCGGGCCATGTGGAAGAGGAGGGCAGATGGGGGGGGAGGGAAGGGGGGGGGGGAATGCTTCCAAGCCGACAGCGCGTACTTTCCACGATGTGATGCATGTGGGCCACGGCCGCAGGGGGCATGGGCGACAGGCTGGACAGGACCAGGCCGGCGGCCGGGTCCTCCAGATCCAAGTGTTCCGGGAGGATGGCATCCGGGGGGATGGTTGGCAGGCCCAGCTCCCGGAGGATGCACTCGGGACTGGACACAAGCGAGCTGCACAGAGCCGCCACCGCCAGGCCATAATGTGTGCCGGCCAGGTGCCGCGCCTCGGCCAGCTGGTTGACCCGGTTCACGGACCAGGGCCGCAGCTCGGCCAGCGGCCCGACATCCCGGAAGTAGGGAGACGTCGAGCGCTGGAGCTCTCGCAGGGCGGGGCCGGCCTCGGGGCAGGTGATGAGAGTCTGGCGCAGGTGCTCGGCGGCCTGGCGCGCAGCCGCCGCCTCTGCCGGATGCCCCTGCCCGTCGAGCCGCGCGGCGCGGGCCTGTTGCGAGAGGATCCGCCGTGCGAGGCGGACAAAGGAGCCGATCTTCACCGGGGCCACTGGACTGCTCGTGTCCGGGGTACGGAGAAAGCGGAGTTGGCCCTCGGACAGGGTGTCGGCACCACCCCGGGGGAAAGCCCCGATGACTGAAGCGGGCCCGGCCGGCCCGGGGCCCGGGTGTGCGGTAGTCGAGGCTGCACGGGTGGCCACCACCTGTGCGGCCAGGGCGGCACGTGCGACCGGCCGGTCGCGGGAGCCGCCGAGGGCACCTCTTCCGAGGGCGACAATCCCCCGTGGGAGGATCATGGCAGACGAGGGGGGTGGGGTGGGG